TTAGTCTATAGTAATATAGATTAAGTTATCTAACCTTTTATTACCTTTCTATCTAAGTATACTACTCTACTATCTTGCTAGATAAACTTTACAGAACACTAATGTAAGGCTTATTAGCTATAGTGGCGGACCTAACCAGAGCAGTATAGACCCAAACCCCGTGTAACACCTGTTCGGATATCGGTCGTGTCGGTAGCTCAGCCGTTACATAATCCCTATAGGCAAGACACTATTTAAGCCTCTTCTACCTTATTTTCTGTGTTAAACTAGGCTTCCGTGTTAGCTTTATTTTATTATATCTTGTTGCTTTGAGAACTCTCTAAATGGTAGTGGATGAAACGTTGTAGCCTTGAATTCTAAGGTTACTAGCTATATCCGCGTAGGTTTTCTCTCTACTGTACCTATCGCGGTGTACTTTTTTAAGGGTAGCTTTATGGATATCCTCTTGTTTACGAGGGCGGCTAACGCGTGGGGTATCCTCTAAGTATATAGGAAGTAATTTAATAGTAGGCGAGTTGGGATCGAAGCCTTGTTGGCACGCTCTACTATAAATTGAGTTAATCGTGCGTGGTGAAATACCCGTTATTTGACTAATCTGATTGGTGGATTTACCACCAAAGGGGGATATCAATGTAACGATCATAGCACACGTACAGATATCGGTATTTTGCTTCATTTTTTATCCAAAAACTCCAAAAAATGGGTGTATAACTGCTCCTCCAACTTCAAAAAAATCAGTGCGGGTGCCAAGACAGTCGGGCCGATAGATACCCCTGTCAGCAATAACTTTTGAAAGCCACCTCTGTAGACTTGGAAGACCAGAAAATCCTTTTGCAAAATGTTGTACGCACAAGCCAGCCAGCGTCATGAAGCTAAGGAGCGCCCTCTCCTACTGGAAGGCTAACACCGTTCACATTGGCAGAGTTCTCACTCAGCAGCCACACAATACTCCGTGCAATATCTGAGGCTTCTATCGGTTCTGGAAGGTTCCACTTCTTGCGAGCCTCTTGAGCTTCTTCATCCCCAAGCCCGTCAAAAGTCTGCTCCGTCATTGGTGTCTTTGTATATCCTAATGTGCAAATAAAGATTCCTGTTAGCACCTCCATACTTTGATATACTATATCCCCCTTTTATGTACGCACCTGGTAGAACACCATTAACTCGTATTCCATAATTGAACCCATCCTTAGCCGCGTTACGTGTAAAATGCTCGGCTCCTGCTTTGCTTGTACTATAACTATAACCTATACCAGGATGCTGTAGTGCTGCAATACTTGTAACATTTACAATAGATGGGTTACTACTCTTCGCCTCTTGATACATAACTCGAAATTGAGCACGTGTGCAATACATTATACCGTCTTGATTAACTGAATGAATTCGGCGCCAGTTTTCATCTGTTTCCTGGATAAGTGCTGGCCCTGATGTGTTGACTTCAATGGGTGGTTGCGGAATTCCTGCGATGTTTGCGGCACCATGCAGGACGCCATGCTTAGCGATAATTCTATCGATCCAGTTATTAACTTGAGAAGATTGGCTAACGTCGACGTCTTCTAAATAGATAGAAGTAGATGGATTAATTGAAGAAAGTTGTGTATGTACTAAGTCAAATAGCTTAGTCTGTCGATCGGCAATCCAAATAGCTTTCGCGCCGTATTCAGCAAGTAGGGAAGCTGTTGCAAAGCCTATGCCAGAGGCACCCCCAGTAACGCAGAAGATACGTCCAGTAAGATTAATGCTAGGTTTGATCGCAGACATGGTGATTCGAAGTTCGTTTCTTAGAGCAATTTGGTATATTGAAGCTGAAAATCCGAGATGGATACTGAATTGGTAAACTGTAAATAGGATGAAATATATTTCCAAACTCCTCTTCAAAGTTCGACATGGCCTTTTTATAAATCTCGACGGGAAAAGAGTAAAGATAACACATCCTAGTAAAAATAGACCTTTGCCCAGCATCCTAAGTAAAGGTCTATACTAGAAGAGGAAAAAACCGCATAAGTAGCATGTTTCGGATGCTGTGGTCCTGAGTTATGAGGTACTAGATGCAGTTAGGCAGGGAAAGCGGGTTACCCTGCACGGGAACGGATATTTTTGTACCCGAACCTAATGACTATTCCGCTTACCATAGTCGAACGATAAAGCGGAGTACAAATATAACACTCGATTTGGACCAGTACGCACCCCTGACACTGCCCCGCCGAGAATGTTTGTGCAAAATTATGTAAGCTAGGCCCCGGCACAAAATTTCAATCTTGTTCCGAGCCGACAGACCTATATGGGTCATGTCGTACTTAGGTAGATTTAATTAGCGCTCGGTACGCCAGAACTACGATCCCGCACGATTCATGTCGGGGACTGCTTCACGCTTTCTCGGGCATCGTAAATCGTAAGACGAGCGGCGCCTCACTAGTAGCTACTATTCTTATTAGGTATAGTGGCAATGTATACTTACTTAGTGTGAACATCCAATGTTGAGTCGAAACTAAAATCAAATGAGTTGAACAAGAGCATGTCTCAACGAGAACAAATAAAATAGACATTATGTTTCAAGTGTATCTTGCTGATCGCGTATTGGCCCAACGATATCGATTGTGCAGGGTTGATCCAGGAAAACGGCCGGCTTGGACCAAAGTGAATCTCGGCATCCGGAATAAGTTTTTAGCTAATTGTTTACAGAGAACGTAATATGCACGAGACGTCATATACTAATAAGAGCTTTGAAAGGGGAGTCGGATCCATTGTCGATCCGAACCGGAAAATTCATGTTAATATTAAGGCAGATGAAACTAATCACAGTTCTCACGCACTTGAATTCATTGTTTTAGTAGAACTTCGTTTAGGGATTTCAAATACACCCACACTCTTGTTTTCACAAATTCACCGGAACACTTTTGGTTGCTTAACAACATGGAGACCCTGAAATTTGCAAATATCTTTCCTACCAGCTTGGCTCCATTTGTCCTCAATTACGTCACCACTTCGATATTGGTTGCCGCTGTAGTTACGATACTTATTCTCAGTCGAAAACGCAGCCAAATTCCTCATGCCAACCCTACACCATGGTTTTATCCGACAACTATAAATCAATTGGATGCTGTTAAAAACGCCATAAAGATCGTGGATGACGCTCGAAGAAGGTTTGCTGGCAAGCCATTCCGAATGATTAACTATAACGGAGAAATGCTTGTTCTTCCAGCACGCTATCTAGACGCTATCCGGAACGACGAAAATCTAAGCTTTTCGAAAGCGATCGAGCTTGTAGGTTTTATTAGTTATCTTTATAAAGCAAAAAATGCTAATTATATAGGACTTCCACTCCCATGTTCCAGGATTCACACCTCAAGGACTCATAGGCCATCAGGGAAACGTGTTACAAAACCTTGCTAGAAGACCACTTACAAAACTACTTAGTAAGTTTCATACTTAGAAGAAACTTTGTATAGATTAAGGCTTATAATTTATCTAGATACTATCACAAAGCCGCTAGCTTCTGAATCTCTCTTCGCAGTTAAGGTCGTCTTAGGCAATCCTACTGGCAATCCTACTGGTAAGGCTTCAAGTCTAGGTAATTATTCCATGATTAACATAGTCTAACCTTAAATAGATTGGCAAGAAACCTTTATCTTCGACTCTATGCTAAGCATTATCGCCCGTCTTTCATCACGCGTTTTTCTAGGCGAAAGACTTTGTCGCGACGAAGACTGGCTTAAGGTTACGAAGTTATATACCGTAGAGATGTTCCATGCTTCGTTTCAATTAACGCTCGTGCCCCCTAGTCTTCGGTTTCTCTTTGCTATCTTCTCTAAACGATGTAGAACTGCTTATCAGCATCTCCAGCACGCTCGGAAGCTAATTACGCCTATAATTCAAGAGCGTCGTTTACTTAAAGAACAAGCAAGTAGAGAAGGAAAACCTATTCCAAAGTTTAATGACGCTATTGAATGGGGCGAAGTAGAATGCAATGGTATCAGCTATGATCCTGCTGACCTACAACTCGGTCTTTCGTTTGCTGCTATACATACTACATCAGACCTTCTATCAAAGATCTTATTGCTCTTAGCTAGAGAACCTAAGCTAATAGATCCCCTCCGGGAAGAAATAATCCGTGTCCTAAACCAGGATGGATGGAGCAAAAACTCGCTGTTTAATATAAAGCTATTAGACAGCACAATGAAGGAAGCACAAAGAATGTTACCTAACGAAAAGTGTAAGTTATTACGTACGTTATTCAAGAACTATCCTACTAACGATATATTTAAAGTGGCCATGCGCCGTATCGCAACTAAAGATATATATATACCAGAAGAGAACTTTACTATTCGTAAGGGACAGTATATCATGATAGACGACAATCACGGGGCAGATCTACCCTTAAATGACTGTTACAGTCTAGACAAATTCGATATATATCGTTGGTTACGCTTACGAGAAACGCCTGAGTTTGCTAATAAAGCACACTTTGTAAGCACGAGCCCAGAACACCTAGGATTTGGCCATGGAACGCATGCCTGCCCTGGTCGCTTCTTCGCTGCCAACGAGATCAAGATTGCGCTTTGTTTTCTTCTTCTCCAATATGATTGGGAACTGGCTCCTGGAACAACTGCTGATCTGAGTCCTTTTGGACTTAGCTTCTTAGTCGATCCAAAGAGTACTTTGAGGTACAGGAAGAGAGAAGCAGAGATTGATCTAGAGGCTTT